TTGTTGAACTTGCTTGTTCCGGCTGGCAGCTTCTCCCTTCATTGGGCTGTAAACGGCGTCTCAGCTTCACCTATAAAAGCCGAGAATGTCTTTGTCGGGGCGTTCAAAGGATCCGTCTGTCACGTCGCCACCTTCCCGCAGACACACCCGCTCATTAATCATTCACCCACCACTCCCATCAAAGACCTCTGCGTCCTTGAGAGCGCTCCTGCGGCAGATCCGGCCCCCGGGCCATCATGGCGGACGGCCAGTTATAGGGGAACGGTTTATGGAAAGGAGATTATTCATAAAGCTGTGAATCTGACATTCAACAAACATTCACTGCAGGTGACTTCGTGGTGCATGTGTGTTCAGTGACTGTGATTGATTCTCCCCCAGTGAATGTTTACTGAAAGGTATTCCTAAAGGGTTTACTGCTCTTAATCAGTGTACTGGCCCCGTGACCTCCCGCATCCAGATCCCGGATCATTCAGTGTTCCGGCCCCATGACCTCCCGCATCCAGATCCTGGATCTCATTCCGTGTATTGGCCCCGTGACCTCCCGCATCCAGATCCCGGATCATTCCGTGTTCCGGCCCCGTGACCTCCCGCATCCAGATCCCGGATCTCATTCCTTGTACTGGCCCCGTGACCTCCCGCATCCAGATCCCGGATCTCATTCCGTGTACTGGTCCTGTGACCTCCCGCATCCAGATGCCAGATCTCATTCCGTGTACTGAGCCCGTGACCTCCCGCATCCAGATCCCGGATCTCATTCCGTGTACTGGCCCCGTGACCTCCCGCATCCAGATCCCGGATCTCATTCCGTGTACTGGCCCCGTGACCTCCCGCATCCAGATCCCGGATCTCATTCCGTGTACTGAGCCCGTGACCTGCCGCATCCAGATCCCGGATCATTCCGTGTACTGGCCCCGTGACCTCCCGCATCCAGATCCCGGATCATTCCGTGTACTAGCCCCATGACCTCCCGCATCCAGATCCCGGATCTCATTCCGTGTACTGGTCCTGTGACCTCCCGCATCCAGATCCCGGATCTCATTCTGTCTCCATTTTTTCTTTCAGATCGTCAATGAGATTGAACTCCATCGTGAGCTCCACCACAAGAACGTCGTGAAATTCTCCCACCACTTCGAGGACGGCGAGAACATTTACATCTTCCTGGAGGTCTGCAGCCGCAAGGTGAGTGTTACTGGGGTACGGCTGTCACTTTCCCCCCTGCTCGGCGTCGCAGCGCTCGGCTCAGTCCCCAGCAGGAGAAAGTCCCGCCATTCAATCAACTGACATGCGGTTTCCGGAGTCTGATCTCTGCATTGTAATGAGACTTCCTGCCGCTCTCGCTATGACTGAGCCGGAACCATGTCCTCAATGTGCAGATACCGAGCTCAGCAACTTCACAGTGAGAGCCGCCATCACCCACCTCTGAGTAACGGCTCATCACAGTGCAGCTCACAGACACCTCAGCAGCGTGCATAGATCTAGATGTGACTTCCATGGATGTCTGCAGATCGACTATACAGGGGGGGTGTCGTGATTTCCATGTATGATGTCTGCAGATCCATACAGGGCGTCATGTGACTTCCATGGATGGTCTATACAGGGGGGTGTCATGTGACTTCCATGGATGGTCTATACAGGGGGGTGTCATGTGACTTCCATGGATGGTCTATACAGGGGGGTGATCATGTGACTTCCATGGATGGTCTGTACAAGGGGGTGTCATGTGACTTCCATGGATGGTCTATACGGGGGATCTCTGTGTATAGAGCAGACACAGCTGCCGGCATTGTTTAAAGTTTGGGCTGCGAGGGGCCCCTTTGTGTGCGGCCCTTCCCCCGGGCCAGCAGCTGTGCACACTCCTCTGTAGGCTCTTTGTCAGGGACGTAGAGCCGAAAATAAACTCCGGCCCGCCAGTCTTCCGCGCGGAGCACAAAGGCCGATTCATACCTGTGCCGATTCATACCTGTGCCGATTCATACCTGTGCCGATTCATACCTGTGCCGATTCATACCTGTGCCGATTCATACCTGTGCCGATTCATACCTGTGCCGGTTCATACCTGTGCCGATTCATACCTGTGCCGATTCATGCCTGTGCCGATTCATACCTGTGCCGATTCATACCTGTGCCGCCGATTTGGCCAGAAGAGATTCTTCGCTTTTGTCACAAATGAACAAACCAAAACTTGTCTTGAATGTCGGCGAGATCGATTATCGATAAAGCTGGACTCCGGCCTGTAAATCTGCCTTCTCCCCGGGTGAATGTACGAGTCATTCCCTCACATTTGTGTGAATCAGACTTTCTTTTATATGAAAACCCCGACTTGTCATTTCTGAACTTGAGGAGGAGGGGCTTACACTTTTCATAAAAATATAAAAGGATATTTAGGTTTGGGGGCGGAGCTAATTATATACAATGTTTCCAGTAAGATAAAACAATAGA